GTGACGGGGGATTGGCTGGGCTCGTGGGGCAGCTGCTTTAAAGAGGACGCGCCGTACTCCGTCAGGTACCCCAGTACACACACACACACACACACACACACACACACACACACACACACACTCACCCCATAATTAAAAGGATAGTTCACGCAAAACTGAATGTCCTGTCATCATTTCCTCATCCAACACTTGTCCAAACCTTTATGAGTTTCTTTCTTATGAGTTGATATTTTCCTGGAAATCGGTAACCATTGACTTCTGTAGCGTTCGTTTTTTCTACAATGGAAGTCAATGGTTACAGGATTTCAGCATTGTTCTAACAAAAGAAAGCAGCTCATCAGGGTTCCACACCTCTCCATGGAGAGTAATTGGAGTAGATGCTCATGTAATGTTCATGTTCAACACACAGACTCACTCCTGATCAGAAGTACCTGGTCGTGGCTCAGCTGAACACTAATCAGGTGACGCTGCTGGAGGCTCCACCAGTGGGCATCATCGGTCAGTGTCAGGTGATCAGCTCCATCCACCTGCCCGAGGACGTCAAACCACACCTGGTGGAGCTGGACCTGAAGAGCGCAGCGCTGTACGTGGCAGAGATCGGGGCCAATCAGGCGCAGAGGTTCATCCCGCTGACAACCAGCAGCGTGTAGATGCTCAGAGCTACAGCAGAGAGAAGAGCTGATGAGAAGATCCAGACGCTTCATCTGTCCGCAACACTGAGCTCATCTGCACTCTCAACACAATCACAATCAGACATAGCTCCTGGAGTTCAGATGGTTATCAGAGCATTAAAGGGGCAGAGTAATTGTGGGTTGCTGCACTGTGTTTGGTGTTTGTGTTTACGACTCGTGACTCAGTCCTGTGTTTTTAATGTCTATCAGATTCTATATGATCATAATTTAAGCTCGGTGAATGGTGTTTACATGTGTTCTTGTCCTCTCGAATGTCAATTTCTCATGATTTGAATGATTTTTGGGGCCAATGGCGTAGCTCAAAATGTGCAGGGATCACTGACGGGGCCCCCTGGTGAAGTGATCACAAACTGCGGAGCAGGTCCACTGTTTGGGGTGTCACGGTGGCGCAGTGGGTTGAACAGTCAATGGGTTGCAGCTGAAAGGGCATCCACTGTGTAAAACATATGCTGGAATAGTTGGCGGTTCATTCCGCTGTGGTGACCCCTGATTAATAAAGAGACCAAGCCGAAAGAAAATGAATGAATGAACGATGCTTGTGTGTGTTTATGAGGACACTGATTTGTACATCATGGGTATGATCTAGGTCAGGGGTGCCCAAACTTGCTCCTGGAGGCTCAGTGTGCTGGATATTTCAGTTCCAACCTCAATTAAACACACCTGAACCAGTTAACCAAGCTCCTTCTAGGTAAACTAAAACTTCCAGGCAGGTGTGTTGAAGGAAGTTGGAGCTAAACTACGCAGGACACGAGCCCTCCAGGACTGAGTTTGGACACCCCTGACCTCAGTTTTACAACATTGAGGTGGTTTATGAGGACATGTTTTGTGTCTTCATAATTCAGGACTGTTAAAATCATAACTGGGGTTTTTTCTATTCATATTTTGCTCAGTTTTCAGGGAGGGTTGGGTTTAACCCCATAATATAATCAGTTTTACAGTATAAAATACACTATGGCTTTGGAGAGCCCTCTTAAACCACCATTATCCACATGTGTGTGTGTGTTCTGTGAAGAACTGTTCATATCCTGCAATGTGCCATGATGACTTTACTATCATTTGAATAGTTTGATTCTCTCATTGATGTACAGTGTCGCTGTGCTCAGATCAGTCATTATTATGATCAGTGATTGTGGTGTAAGTCAGATCGTATAACTGAAACGCATGCGAGGTTTACATCCAGTAAACAGTGTTGATGTGGAAAGTGTTCATCACTCCTGAATTGTATGTGGTGTAAATAAAGACATTTGGGTATTTGAGTCTGTATGTGTGATTTATCCCAGAATTAATAAGCTTTATTAGCATTCAGCTACACTGTCAGCTTGTCCTGGATACACTATAGAAATGACGAATGAAAGCTGAAGGTTAAATGAAACGCACATGAACCAAAATATGAAGTGTGTCATCTCCTGTCAATCTGACAACGCGCATACACAAAACAATGAAGAGCGCGCGCCCTTGTGAACGCGCGTCTTTCCTGCGCACAAAAGAATGTCAACAATGACGGCGGACCCCTTTTGCGAGCTGCCCGCAACTCTGCCTGATCAGTCTCATGCGCATGCGGGTGCTCTATTTGTACTCACCAACGTTAACCAACAATATAATAAACTGCATTAGCAGCGTTCAACATGCATAGATCGCTTCCGCTTATTTAATATCATCCTTTGTAGTCTCAGCTCCTCCGGTGTGTCAGGTGTTTCCTTCGGGC